CGATTCGGAACGATTCGGGAGCAGAAATGAGGCCGGCGCCTCAGCGAGAGCAGCATTTTCGAAAAAAAACGCAGGCGAAAACCCGTTTCCCGGGAATCCTGTGTGTAAAAAAACAGTACGCGGGGGGGGGGGTCGGATATCTTCGGGACGCCATCGGGGGAAGAGGGAGAGTATTTTCATATTGTGCAATTCTGGAGGAGGAGAAGGAGGAGGAGAAGGAGGAGGAGGAGGAGGAGGAGGAGGAGGAGGAGCAGGAGGAGGAGGGGGGGGGGGAGTGTGTACGACGACAACGAGCAGCGACCGACGAAACTAGACGGCCTCGGGGGGCCAGGGGAGAGACGGGGAGGGGGCCCTGGACCGCTGGGGCCCGGACCCGCGGGACCAGAGGGGAGCGCCACGGTCACCGCGGGGAGGGGCGCCCTGGACCAGGGGCATGTCGCTCGCATCGTACTGAAGGACCACCCCCAGAAATGATTTCGAGCACCTGGAAAAATGTCGAAAGAGTGTCGAACCAGCGTCGAAACAGTGTCGGACGAGTGTCTCCCAGGGCCCGACACGCGAAAACCCTGGAGTTTCGGTGCTTTTCTGGTGCTCGAAATTCTGTCTGGTGGTCAAGGCTGAATCGGCGGTGGACAAAGCTCCTTTTAGCAAACCTCCCCTTAGTGAAACCGGCCTGGGGCCGAAACCGACGGACCTGGACCCGTAAAAAATGACGGCCGCGACGCCCTCTCGCGAACCGAAAACGGCCAATTCCTCAATCGACGCGTCGGGGCAGGAGGCCTGTCCGCCCCCGACGACGACAGCAGGCCGGGAACAGCAGAAGACCCAGGGGGGGGGGGAAAGGGCCACGGCCGGCCGAGGGGAGGGGACGAGGATCGGAGGCCGCATGGCGACGACGAGCGGGTCGGTGAGCCCTGGCGACGATGAGGAGAGGGGACGAGGATCGGAGGCCGAATGGCGGCGAGGAGCGGGTCGGTGAGCCCTGGCGACGACGAGGAGAGGGGACGAAGATCGAAGGCCGAATGGCGACGATGAGGGGGGAAGCCCTGGGCCAGAGGGCGGGGGACCGCTGGGCCGCGGGGCCAGGATGAAGTCGGGCACATCCCCCTACAGGAGGGCTTTGGGCGAAAAACAAGATATACTCAACACATGCCCCCAAATAGTAAAGAAATAATCTAAAAATAGTCCCCATACTGTTTTTGGACTATTTTTGAACACTCCTCTTGTAGAGGGACAAGCCCGACTTCAGACCAGGAGAGGGGGAAGGGGGGTGTGCCAGACCGGGGGGGAGAAGGCCAGGGCCACGAGGACGGGCCCTGGACCAGGGGGGAGGGGGTGGGTCACGGCAGGGCGGGGAGGACGACGAACCACGAGCGAAGAACGACGAAAATCCGAGGGTCCGCACTCTGGAACACAGCAGCGCAAGAGAATAAAGGGCTCCGGGGCCAGGGCAGTGAGGGGACGAACGCCTGAGCTACGAGAGGGCCAAGGCGCAGAGAGGGCCAGGCCGTGGGAGGGAAGGGCGAGAGGGTCACGGGCGGACGACACAAGCACGACGAGCACAAAAGGGCTCCGACATCTAGAGCACAGCTGCACAGGAAGCCAGACACCCCATCGGGAGCAGGAAAAACAGAACTAACGGGGAAACACTTCGGAACACGAGAGCGAATGAGGGAGGACGAGTATAACCACATGTTTGCCAGCGCTAACTCCCAAACAGCAAGTGGTTGCACTGCAGCTGTGTGGTGCAAGCTATGGGGTGCAAGTCATGTGATGTAAGCTATGGGGTGAGATCTACGTGGTACAGGCTATGTGATATGAGCTATGTGGTGAAAGCTATGTGGTGCGAGCAATGTGGTGCAGGTTATGTGGTGCAATGAACGTGGTGCAATCTCCGCTGTCCAGCTATGAGGTGTAAGCTATGGGGGGCACGCTTTCTGATGCGAGCTGTGTGGTGCAAGTTACGTGGTGCAAGCCATGTGCTGTGCAATCTACGTGAGGCAGGCTACGTGATGCAAGCCATGTGGTGACAGCAGTGTGGTACGAGCAATGCGGTGCACTCTAGGTGGCAAGAAGAAACCTAACAATATATCATTGCAATGCCCGGCCAGAGGCGTGTGGGCCTCTGTGAGCGTCTGCATGATCGCACATACGACTGGCAAGGTGGTGGCCCTGGGGCCGCCCGCCTCCTCCACTGCAGGTGCGCGGCCGCCGTGGCCGCCCTCCTCCTCCTCCCTCCCTCCTCCTCCTCCTCCTCCTCCTCCTCCTCCTCCTCCTCCTCCTCCCTCCTCCTCCTCCTCCTCCCTCCTCCTCCTCCTCCTCCTCCTCCTCCTCTCCTCCTCCTCCTCCTCCTCCTCCCTCCTCCTCCTCCTCCTCCTCCTTCCTCCTCCTCCTCCTCCTCTCCTCTCCTCCTCCTCCTCCTCCTCCGCCCTCCTCCTCCCTCCTCCTCCTCCTCCTCCTCCTCCTCCTCCTCCTCCTCCTCCTCCTCATCCTCTGGTGCGCGGCAGGCCGCGCTCCCCTGCGCCCGCGTGCTGCTGGCCGTGCCCCCCACCCACCCCCACCCCCCCTACACTCTACGAGGTACTCCCTGCGTGGTGCCACCCACGAGGAGGAGGGAGAGGAGGAGGAGGAGGAGGAGGAGGAGGAGGAGGAGGAGGAGGAGGAGGAGGAGGAGGAAGAGGCGGAGGAGGAGGAGGCGGAGGAGGAGGCGGAGGAGGCACCCGGCGAACTCTCAGCACACCCCTCCAGCGCACCAGGGCGCCCACGAGGCGGGCCACGGGTGGGCACTGGGCAACATCTGGGCCCTGGGCATACGCCCCCCCCCAGCGCGCTGGGGCGCCCGCGGGGCGCCCACGAGGCGCGCAGGTGCGCGCAGGCACCGGGCGGAACCTCGGCGTGCCCGCCACGCGCGGGAAGCCCACGAGGCGCCAGGGGGCGGGCACCAGCCCCAGACCCGAGCACCCGACCGAGGCCTCGAACGAGCGAGTCCACACATTTTTCCCCACATGCTTCGTGGGGTTTTGGTTTTCTTCCCCGCCGCGCCGCACCCGCGACACTCACCTCACTTCGTGGGGTTCTGGTTCCCCACATGTTTCGTGGGGTTCTGGTTTTCTTCCCTGCCGCGGCGCACCCGCGTCTCACCTCACCTCACACCTCATCTCCTCTCTCCTCCCCTCCTCACAGCACAGCACAGCTCAGCTCAGCTCAGCACAGCACAGCACAGCACAGCACAGCTCACCACAGCACACAGCACAGCGCAGCACATACAGCAGAGCACAGCTCAGCACAGCACAGCACACCGCAGCACAGACAACACAGGCAGTGGCACTTTCTCGACACCACAGGGGGTGCGCAGAGGGTGGGCCCTCAGCGCGGCCTCTATCCGTGACACGCTCGCAAATCGTGGCAGGACTACTACTTTCTCGACACCACAGGGGGTGCGCAGAGGGTGGTCCCCCAGCGCGGCCTCCATCCGTGACACGCTCGCAGATCGTGGCAGGAGTGGCACTTTCTCGACACCACAGGGGGTGCGCAGAGGGTGGTCCCTCAGCGCGGCCTCTATCCGTGACACGCTCGCAGATCGTGGCAGGAGTGGCACTTTCTCGACACCACAGGGGGTGCGCAGAGGGTGGTCCCTCAGCGCGGCCTCTATCCATGACACGGTGGTCCCTCAGCGCGTAGAGGGTGGTCCCTCAGCGCGGCCTCTATCCGTGACACGCTCGCAGATCGTGGCAGGAGTGGCACTTCCTTGACACAACAGGGGGTGCGCAGAGGGTGGTCCCTCAGCGCGGCCTCCATCCGTGACACGCTCGCAGATCGTGGCAGGAGTGGAATTTCCTCGACACCACAGGGGGTGCGCAGAAGGTGGTCCTTCAGCGCGGCCTCTATCCGTGACGCGCTCGCAGATCGCGGCAGGAGTGGCACTTTCTCGACACAACAGGGGGTGCGCCGTCGGTGGTCCCTCAGCGCGGCCGCTATGCACGACGGTCGTCCAGGGCATAGCAGGCGTGGCACTTTCTCGACGCCACAGGGAGTGCGCAGGGGGTGGTCCCTCACCGCGGCCGCTTTGCACGACGGTCGTCCAGGGCATAGCAGGCGCGGCATTTTCTCGACACCATAGAGGCTGCGCAGGGGGTGGTCCCTCACCGCGGCCGCTATGCACGACGGTCGCCCACGACATAGCAGGCGTGGCACTTTCTCGACACCATAGACGGTGCGCAGGGGGTGGTCCCTCACAGCGGGAACTCTCGTCCCCATCCACTCTCCCCGGTCCCGCAAGCTCGGGCGACGGCGGAGCGAGGACGACTCATGGTGAGCGAGGGGGAGGGGGGCATGGGCGGAGGAGCAGCAGCAGAAGATGGACGGTAATGAGAAGGGACAGACAGGCCTGGAGTCAAGAAAAAGGAGGAGAGGAAAGCGAGGAGGGTCAGGATGAGAAAACGGGAAGGATCACAACAGAAGTTTGGTTGGGCAGGGAAGGGGCAGGATGAGGAGGAGAGAGGACAGGAGGAAGGCGAGGGATAAAAGTAAGACCGAGAAGGAGAGAGGAGGTGGTGGATCATGGAGGGAGGGGAAGTAGGACTCCGTGGGAGATGTAGGAGAGAGCAGGGAGTAGGGTGGAGGAGGGGGAGGAAGGGGGAGGGAAGAGGAAGGAGGAGGAAAGAGGATAAAGGGCAACAGCGTGAGAGGAGGAATTAGGGAGGAGGAAGGAGGAAAGACACATGACATAATCTGGGAGGGAGAACGAGGAACGAAGGGGGAGCGGAGATGGACGAGTGACGGGATGCAGGCGGCAAGAACAACAAGGAGGCGACATGTGGAGATTCCCCCACGCAAGCATACCCGACAATGTCGTGATCGCTCCTGACCCCTTCCTAACATAAGCTCTCGACCGCGACCCTTGCCTTGAATGATCTCTCGGCTGTGCGCGTTCGTCGATGCTCGCACGCTGCCCTCCCATGTTATCAGAGAAGACTGGCACATTTGCGACAGAGCCGGTCCTGGTAATGCCATATGGCATTCGGGAAGCAGGAGTGCGACATGAACGAAGAGAAGAAATACGTCGAGTACCCCTGCGAAAGGGAGGCACGCCAAGTGACGGTTCTAGCAGAAACCGCAAGGGTGAAAAAGAGAGAGAGAGAGAGAGAGACGCAGGAGGCGCAGCGAGGCGGAGCCAGGCAGCTTGTGCTAGGACGCGGGCAGTGAATATCAAGGCTCACAGTACAGAGAGAGAGAGAGGGGAGAGGAGAGAGAGTCACTAAGAGAGCGAGAGAGAGAGGGGAGAAACCAAATGAAGAAATAGAGAGAGAGGGAGAGAGAGAACAACAAAAAGGTGACAGAGACAGAAAGAGTGAAACAGAGGGAGAGAGACAGAGAGAGAGAGAAAGAGAGAGAGAGAGAGACGCAGGTGAGAGACAGCTAGAGAGAAAGAGAGAACAACAACAACAAAACACCGAATGAAACGGATCTATATAGAGAGAGAGAGAGAGAGACACAAGAAAAGAGAGATGAGAGGGATGAAGGGAGGACGGGAACCAGAGAAAGAGAGAGAGGACAGAGAGAGAGGGGGAGATAGGGCACATCGGAAAAGGGAGGTAGAGGGAGAACGAGCGAGAAAGGGAGACACCGAGAGAGAAAGAGAGTGGAGAGAGAAAGATAGGATTATACACTTCTATTTGCCGAGCAAGAAAGTTTAAGACGAACCAGATACGAGACATAGAAAAATACATCGGACGTGTAATGACCATCTTGTGAGAGAGGGAGAGAGAACAGCACAAGAGGAAAAAGAGGGGGCGAGAGGGAGTCAGAGAGAGAGAGAGAGAGCGAGAGCGATAACATGATAGGTTTTGGACACGTATCAGCATGCGCGGTCCCTAAAAAACTTCAGGAGCAACGCACCCTGGTGGATTTGAGGGGCCGGGCGCTTCTGCATGGTTCGAGCTTGTACCTCTCCCTCTCATTCGTTCTCTCTCTCTCTCTCTGTCTCGTTCTATCTCACTCTCTCCCTCCCTCTTTCGCACACTCTCTCTCTAGATGTCACTCTCTCTTGTTCTGTCCCTCTCTAGTACAATATACATATATATGTATGTATGTATATATATACATATATATATATATATAGAAATGTACACATATATATATGTATGTATATATAAACTGTACATATATATATGTATATATATATATATAGATATGTATGTCTGATCGCGGGCTCAGGGCCCACGGCACCCCCCCCAGACGGGATGGGCCCCAGGGTCCTCGGGCCCCCCCCCCAAGATGGGATGGGGGGGGGAGGAGGAGGATGAGAAGGAGGAGGAGGAGGAGGTCGAGGAGGAGGAGGAGGAGGAGGTGGTGGAGGAGGAGGAGGAGGAGGAGAAGGATGGGGAGGCGGAGGTGGTGGAGGAGGAGGAGGAAAAGGAGGAGGAGGAGGAGGGAGGCATCTTCGCTCCCCCCCCCTGCTCTCCCTTCTCGCCCTTCCTGCAAGATCCGAGGGCCTCCTCCTTCCTCCGCCTTCCCCTACTCCCTCCTTGAGGGGGGGGAAGTGAAGGATCAAGGTTCGATGGGGAGGGAGTGGAGGAGAGGCGAGCAGGATCGAGTTTCGAGTGGAGGGCCTGCCCCCTCCTCTCCCCGCCCCCTTTACTTGAGGGGTCAGAGTGAAGGGGAGAGAGAGAGAGAGAGAGAAACAAAAAAAAAAAAACAAGAGAGAGAGAGAGACAGAGGGAGGGAACGAGAGAGAGAGAGAGGGAGAGAGGGAAGGATACATATATATTTATACACACACAAGGCTGCATTGGCGCTTCGCGCCATGCACCTTGTTCCTTGAAGCTTTGGAATGGTTGGCCCGTGGTGCCATCCTTTTTCCATTTTAGCCGCGGTCCACTGGTTCGTACTTCGGAGAAGCGCAGGAAGAGCAGAAAGGGGGGCAATCAACCTGGGACGGGCCAAAACTGCGAGTTGGAGGCCGCGGGCGCATGGAATGGCGCATATGAGTGGGGACCGCGCGGGAAACAGCTAGAATCCCGGGTTCGCAACCGAATTTTCGGAAAATTGGTTGCGAACCCGGGATTATGAGCATAATGCGGCTACTCTTCAGGGAATATCAGATGAAGGGGGCGCGGGGCGGCGGAGCGGTGCGATTTCGAGGGCGGCGGGTTTGACGGGCAGGGTGTTGGTCGGCTTGGCTCTTACGAGCCGTCGGGACCCTCCTCCTCCTCCTCCTCATCCTCCTTCCCCTCCTCCACCTCCTCCTCCGCCTCCTCCTCCTCATCCTCTTCCTCCTCCTCGTTCTCCTTCTTTCTCTGCCTTCTTCTCCTCCTCCTCCTCCTCCTCCTCCTCCTCCTCCTCCTTCTCCTCCTCCGCTTAAGCCGATGGAAAATTAACGATTTGGAAGCTTTTTGGGGCTTCGCCGGAGCTTCCCAGGGAGCCTCCCGAAGCTCTTTGCAGCTCTCTTGGGGCCTCCTTGGGCCCTTTCGGGGCGGGAGGCTCGTATTTTCAGTTATCTGGTCCTCCCTGGGGCCCTTCTTAGGGCCGTCTCGGAGCGTTCGTGGACCGTCTTGGACCGTCTTGGGGCGCGTCTTGAGACGTCTTGGGACTTTTCAAGACGCTCTGGGAGCCCCTTGGGCCGTTGTGGAGCGGTTTTGGGGGCTTCTTCGGCGGTCTTGGAACGTGAGAAACCCGAAAAAGCGAGGACGCTGAAAGCATTGAAAAACTCATGGGAAAGTAAAACAATTGAATGTTTTTGGAGCCTCACCGAAACGTCTCAGGGGGCCTCCCGAGGCCCTTTGGAGCTCTCTTGGGGCTTCCTTGGGCTCTTTCGGGGCGGGAGGCTTGTATTTTCAGATCGTGGTCCCCCCTAGGGCTCCTCTTTGGCCCGTCTTGGAACGTTCCCGGGCCATCTCGGACGCGTCTTGGGCCGTCTTGGGGATTTCTCAGAGCGCTCTGGGAACCTCTTGGGCCGTTGTGGGGCGGTTTCGGGAGCTTCTTGGGCGGTGTTGGAGCGTCGGACACACGAAAAAGCGCGGACGTTGAAAACATTGAAAAACCCATGGACAAGTAACAATTTGGGATGTTTTTGGAGCCTCACCAGAGCTACTTAGGGGGCTTCCCGAGGCCCTGTGGAGCTCTCTTGGGGCCTCCTTGGGCCTTCTCGGGGCGGGAGGGTCGTATTTTCAGTTCGTGGTCCCCCCTGGGGCCCCTTTTTGGGCCGTCTTGGAGCGTTCGTGGGCCATCTCGGGCGCGTCTTGGACCGTCTTGGGGCGCTCTCAGCGCGCTCTGGGAGCTTCTTGGGCCGCCTTGGAGCGGTTTTGGGAGCTTCTTGGGCGGTCCAGGAGCGTCGGAAACCTGAAAAAGCGAGAACGCTCAAAACATTGAAAAACCAATGGGAAATTCAATGATTTTGTTTTCTCGGGCCCCCTTTGAGAAAGGTCTTGGGGCTCTCGCGGAGGGTCTTCAAGGCTACCCGGGTGATATCCTGGACTGTCTTGGGTGTCTCTGTGGGCTTGCGCCGACCGATTTGGCACTGCCGCCCGCCTGCGTGCACGCCTTGGAAAAGATTTTCGGCCGCCCCCGTGGCACGGATCCGGGGGGTCCCGTTTCGGGGGGGGGGTCCGCACCCCCGGAATTATAAAAATATAGAAAAGGGAATATTGGTATACGGGTATCGACCACCATGCCGGCGGGGCACCTATCGAGAGGGCGGCTCCTCCCTCGTAGCGTGCCCTGCCTCCTTCTTTCCTCCCCCCTCGTCGTCCTCCTCATTCTGATCTTTGTTTCTTATAAATGACTCCTCCCTGTCGTTCCCCGAGGCGCGTCGGTAGGGCGAGCGGGGCGTTTCGCCTGAGACTTCCTCACCGTGGGTGGTCCTTAAGCTGGGAGCTTGCTGCAATGATTTCACGGATGGAGGGCGGGTGGTTTTGAACATGTGGCTCTCGCCTTAGCGCTGCGCAGATTCGTCTGTAGCAATTGCAAAACAGCTTCACGGGTGGAGGCCCGTTTTCAAAATGCGACTCTCGCCTTAGCGCCGCGCACGTTCGTCCTAAAAATTCGTAAGAGCTTCAGTGATGGAGGGCACGTTGTTTTCAACATGCGGCTCTCGCCCTAGCGCCGTGCACATTTGCCTTAGCGCCGTGCACATTCGCCTTTAACACTCAATGATGGGGGGCGTTCCTTTCCAACATGTGGCTCTCCCCTTAGTGCCGCGCAGATTCTTCGTAAGAGTTACAACAGTTTCAAGGGGTCTTATGGTTCACGTCCTAGAAATGGCGGTTCTTCACGATGTCGGGCTGTCAGGGCGCAACTGCTTACGTTGATTCGCGGTTCTCGAGTCCCAGGACTGGTGTTCTGCCACACTCCGGGATCGTCAGGACGCCACAGTTGCGTCGAATCGCGGTCTGGAGGTCCCAGGAATGGTACTCTGGCACGGTTCAGGATTCTCACACGGTTGTCTTCCAATGGGGCACTTCCCTCAGTGACAAAAGGAAAATCAGGAAAAGGTTGGTATGTGTAAAAAGGTGTTGGAAGGTGGAGGTACGTTTGGACCCCTCCCTACGGCCGTCTTCGGTGGCCGAGGGGCCGTAGGGAGGTCCTCGGCCCCCTCCGTGGGCAATTGACGCCATAACATAAGAAGTGTACAAGAATGGGGGCAAGACCCCCAGCAGCCCCTATGATGGCAGCTGCCGAGGGGGTGGGGCCAATTGGAGGGAGGGTTTGTTGAAACATCATTGATGGGTCTTGGCTTTGCACTGGCCCCCCTTCTCGCACCTCTCCTCCTCGTCCTCTCTGCCACTCTCTCGGCCCCCTCTTCCTTATCAGCCAACCTCCGCTTTTCCCTCCCTCCTCCTCCTCCTCCTCCTCCTCCGCGTCCTCCTCCTCCTCCTCCTCCTCCTCCTCCTCCTCCTCCTCTTGACCCACGTCAGCGTCCTCCTGGTTCTCATCACTTCCACCGACTTGCCATCCCCCTCATCCGCCCCTCCTCCGCCCCTCCTGCAGCTCCTCTTCATTATCCCCCCTCCTGTCGATCCCGCCCGCCCCTCTCTCTTTTTGTTCCCCTTGCTTCCTCCCAGTTCGACTCCTCATGACCCTAGTTGTTCAACGGCCCCCGAGGGCTTCTGATTCGTGGCGTTGGCAGGATTACTTTGCTTCCATCCTCTGCTGGATCCTCACGGGCATACCCCTAGGCGGGGTGAACAGAAGGTGCAGGAAGGGGTGGAAGAGGATGATGATGATGATGATGATGATGATGATGATGATGATGATGATGATGATGATGATGATGATGATGAAGAGGAGGGACATTGGGCATCCCACTTGACGACCATGACGACCTTCAGATCCTGCAGACAGGTTACAAAACAGATCATGTGGACTGTGGCGCAGTCACTGCTCGATCTTCCATGGACTGTATTCGAACATGCTCCCACGCTGCCGAATAGGCATCCCGCTCAAGGGGTAGAGGATGACAGGCAGGCCTGCGGGTTGTCCGAGTACTCGAAGCAATTCAAAACCCAGATCTGTATCAGCCTCCCACCACTCTATGTACCCATGTGCCCTTCCGCTGGATGGCAGCAGGAGTTCATTTGGACTGGCAAGATGTACAAGGAAGTCTTTGTGAGCGTGTATCACCGAGCAGTGAGCTATTGCACTCTGGGTGTGCAAGCTATGTTGTGCGCACCATGTGATGCAAGCGCACTTCAAGCAACGCGGTGCCATCTGTGTGTGGTGCAAGATATGTGGTTTCAGCCATGTGGTCAAATCAGTGTGGTGCAAGCCGTGTGTGTGGTGCAAGCTGCGTGGTGCAAATTGTGCGGGGAAACTGCGTGCTGCAAGCACTGCGGTGTAAGCTCTTAGGTGCGAGCAGAGTGGTGCAAACCATGCCATGCAAGCGGCGCGGTGCAGGCAGCGCGGGGCGCACCTGTTTTTTCGCCGGCGGCGAGGCAGCGTTGCCTGCACCAGCGCTGGAGCTAAACAGGGGCGCCGAAGAGCGCCTTGGCCAGCGCGCAAGGAGTGGGAAGAGGGCCTGAGCGGGCGGCCGCGGAGGGGGGGGAGAAGAGAAGGCCGCTTAGCGTTGTGGGTGCCACGACAGTGGACACCCTGTCGGAACAAGGTTCTGAACATGCTTTGAACATGTCTTTTTACATGTTTGAAGCATGTTGCACACGTGTTTTAGACGTCTGGAAATCATCTGGCAACACGCTTCCTCTCCAATGATCGTCCTCCGCAAACTCCGCGCGGGGCGCACACGGGGCGCACCGCGAGCCGCCCACCGGGCAACGCGCCGACGCGCCACGCCTGCGCCAACGGGGCGCACCGCCCACGATCGGGGAGACGCAAGACCCGGGCACGGGGGACTCAGGTCGGCCCGACGGGGCCTCCGTGACAACGACGTGGCCCGGTCTGAAATCCGACGCGAGCTCCCGCCCCCCTCCCCTTCCCCCTCCCCTTCCTCCTCCTCCTCCTCCTCCTCCTCCTCCTCCTCCTCCTCCTCCTCCTCCTCCTCCTCCTCCTCTTCGGCGTTTCGACATTGGGCGGCAAGGGGGAGGGGGAGGGGGCGGGGGGTCTGGCTCCGGACCTCTGCTCAGTGCGACTGTTTGCAGAAGTGCGTCCTCTGGGGGGGAGGCTCCACCTGATGGAGACATGCGCCAACAAAAACAGCCAAGATCCACTCCAGGGAAGGGGGGGAGGGGGGGTCCGATGGCCCGCGCCGATTGGCAAGACGATGACTAAAAGAACGATCACCACGGCCTCGTAGCTCCTACTGTTTGAGTGGATGTGCCTCCGCTCGAGATGCTCTCCAGCATCTTCCCCCTGCAAGCCCCATGCCTCTCTGTCGGGCCCTCGGGGTTGGCCCTGAAGGAGCTCTGCTGTCTACAGTCGGAGCGTTGACCAAAGGATCCCTAAATAAGGAACGAGGCCCCTTTCATCCACAAGTTGAACTTCGATTTCCCATCGAAAACCAAAGGAAAGCCCAAAGCAAACTGTGAAGCAATCAAGGAACACGCAGTCCCTCCCCAACGAAAAGGGTTCCTTCTTCAGGGCCCCGACTGTACGGTCTGCCATGGGGCCTCCCGAAAAAACGCGAAAGAAAACAAAAGTCCCATCCCCGTTGAAGAGCCCCCCCTGCCAGTTTGCCGAGTGGCCCGGCCAAACAGGCCGAACTGATGAACGCTGCCAGGTGAGACAACGCAGGTTGAGCGAGAATACGCAACTACTGGAATACGCAGAAGCCCATCATCACACATGCGAGCCAGATCACACACACGCACGCACACACATAGAGAGTCGTGCAAATGCGTTTGGATGATCAAATTTACACCAGCGCAACTGCACACTCGAAGGTGAGGCTCACAAGGACTCCGTGGAGGAGCATGGGTGCGGATCGTCTAGAACAATCATGGCACCACGTGTTCAAGAATCCTATCACGCAAGCAATGGGATCGAATTCGCCCCGACAACATTTTCCGAACAAGGGCTTGGCGATCACATGATTCAATGACGCGAACAAGACATTGGCACATGGGCGCGAGGCAGCCCAAGAGCAGATCATCCACACCGACCAGACATGGGAATGCCCCGAACGATAAGCGGAGTCCTGCCCGAATCAGTGTATCTAAATGACGCGTCGGAAGACACACTGGAGTCAACTTTGGACCCGTGCTTGGGCGGAGCCTGCTCCGTGCGTCAAAAATGAGCGAACCTATAGCCGTCCTGGAAAGAGAAGGAGGGGTACGGGGAGGGAAGGGACGTCACGCGTATGTATACTCCAATGTCGCGGACGTTCTCTGTCAAGGTGGCGTGGCCATGTCCTTGGAGTGTCATTCGGATTAGACGCAATCGGACATCGTCCGATCGGCGGCAAAAGTCTTATTAAAGACTGAACCGAGGCAGTAACTGGAAAACAATCCAGGTCCTCAGCGATGGCTCACTCCCCAAAGAGTTCCAGCTCCAGGTAGAACGCGCCGATCCATATCACTCAGCTGCCACAAGATGAAGCAGACCAACTCTCACTCAGGGAAGAGAGGGGGAAAGGACAAAGAGGATGAATATGAGAGCTATGAAGATAACGAGATCATGATACAGATTATCAAGAATGAAGAGGATGATGACACAGACGCGGGTAACTAAAGAGTGATGGAGATGGGCATATGGAGGGATCCTCCTCTTCCTCTTTCTCCTCCTCCTCCTCTCCATCATCATCATCATCATCATCATCATCATCATCATCATCATCATCATCATCATCATCAGCATCATCATCATCATCATCATCATCATCATCATCATCATCATCATCATCATCATCATCATCATCATCATCCCCCTTCTCCGCCTCCTCATCTTTCTCATCGTCGTCCCTGAGGCTTTCGCACTGCCATCTTGGGGCCATGTGTGCACGTACGGGGGTCCCCTGGGGAACCTCTTGCAAACTCTCGGAGCAATCTTGAAATCATCTTTGACCCTCTTGGCCTCGCTTGGTGCGTTCAGGAGCCGTCTTCCGACATCTCGGGGCGCATGGGGCCGCCGTGAGCCGTCTCGGGGCCCTCTTCGCCCGTAAAGGGCTCCTCTTCTGGGGGCCCTCTTCGATCCTCTGAGGGGCCTCCTGGAGCAGCCCTGGGTCATCTCAGGGCCGAATCCCCCATCGAATCCATACTTAACCAAGCGTTTGAACCACCGGGATGCACAACATCCAGATGACATTCTGCAAGTGTTGAAGCATGTTGGCGGTCTGGGGCTGTCTGTGGTGGCATCTTGTGCACCCGTGGGGGCCGCCTTGGGGCCAGCCTGGAACCTATTTGGGCCTCTCGGGCTCTCTGAGAATCGCTAGGGAGCCCTGCGGGAACATGCTGGAGGCCACTGGGGCCATCTTCGGGGCAAAAGTCAAAGGGGCGGGGGGGGGGGCGAGGGAGTCCCTCGGGGGGGGGAGCACTTTAAGTGCACCCACCGGTGGGCCCCAGGGCGCTGGAAACGCTCCTCCTCAGGGTTTCCCGCAGCTCGTTGCGCCCAGGGCCCCCTCTTCCCCAGCCAATTGCTTGACTGCTTGATTGCTTGATTTGGCATGGCCGCGAGGTTGCTGGAGGAGGAGGAGGAGGAGGAGGAGGAGGAGGAGGAGGAGGAGGAGGAGGAGGAGGAGGAGGAGGAGGAGGAGGTGGGGGAGGAGGAGGAGGGGGGGGGGAGAGGAGGAGGGGGGGGAGGAGGAGGAGGAGGGGAGGAGGAGGAGGAGGAGGAGAGGAGGAGGAGGAGGAGGAGGAGGAGGAGGAGGAGGAGGAGGAGGTGGGGGAGGAGGAGGAGGTGGGGGAGGAGGTGGGGGAGGAGGAGGGGGGGGAGGAGGAGGAGGAGGGGGAGGAGGAGGAGGAGGAGGAGGAGGAGCAGGAGGGGGTGGCATTCCCCCAGCGGCCTCGGGGCCCGGGCGCCGCACGCCCAGGGGGGGGGGGTTCTCCCCGCCTCGGGCCGCGGGGGGCCCTCGAACGGCAGGGGGGGCGGGGCACCGGGGGCCGGTGGGGCCCGCGGCGGGCGGCCACCGCGGCGGAGGCCCCTGGTCGGCTGGACGTAGAGAGTGACCCTCGCTCGGACGCCCGTTCCCCGTGTTTTTTTTGGTTTCGTGCCTGGTTTTTTCTCGCCCAGTGGTCAAGGATGCTCCTCGATGGTCCTCGCCGAAGGAACAACGCACACGTCCGAGCGAGGCCAGGTAAGAGTGACCCTGGGTAGGAGTGGCCTTCGGTGCGCAGCTTGTGGGGGCGCGGAGGAGGCGGAGGAGGCGGAGGAGGCGGAGGAGGCGGAGGAGGAGGAGGAGGAGGAGGAGGAGGAGGAGGAGGAGGAGGAGGACAAACCCAGGGGCGCGGGCCCGATGGCCCGCACAAAAGGTCACTCCGGCGAGGGGTCACTCTGACGCGTGGTCGACCTGGGCCCAGCGGCAGCCCTGCGATCCTGGTCTCCCTCCTCCTCCTCCTCCCTCCTCCTCCTCCTCCTCCTCCTCCTCCTCCTCCTCCTCCTCCTCCTCCATTCCTTTTCCGTATCAACTTCTCTTTGTCGCACCCCGAAGCCAGATCGTTTGCGCTCTTTCGTCTCGGGCCCCGGGACCCTCGCAGGTCGATCCGGCTCGAGACATGCCGCAGAGGGATCGGGTCTGGGGCTCCGGGCGTGACTTTTTAACGGCGTTGCAACCTTCTCGCTGCGTCGGGTCTCAGGGAGCGCCCCCTGGGCTCGAGCCTCAGACACGCGCATGCAGTCGACCCGTATGACGAGGATGCGCGTTGAAGGATGCAAGAGGCTTGAAGAGGGCCATGCTGACGCTGTTCGAACGAGGCTGGCCAGCGAAAGTCGCTGAGGATGGGCCGACGGGCAGGGATGCAAGGGTACCCTGGGGAAGGTTGCCCATCCTTCCCAGGCGGGTTGGGGTTGACTGTACGGGGGCGCCCACGGCCTGGAATTGGGTCGGGCATGTCCTCCGGCAGGCGGATTTGGGCAGAAAAATAAAAACATAGCCCAACAACGCTCACAAAAACAATCAAACAAGCACGAGCACT